ATTGATAGATCAGATAGATTGATGGGGCTTACGTATCCCGTAACACACACGCATACAGTTGAGATTACAGATCTGTTTGGCATGCTAATTCTACTCCCTCCTTTACTAAATACAAGTCTTTTAGAGATTTTAATATTAACCACATACGAATGTATATAGACATGTTATAAAATGTAGATTCACTCATTCTGCTCCGTTTGTTGTTTATATTGAAATCTCTCGAGAGACTTATATTTAGGAACGAAGGGAGATATTATTACAGATACACGAAAGAAAGATTATATGGAAAACTGCTGGCTAACGAACTAGTAGTAGTATATCCCTCCCAAGTAAATTAGCGACTGAAAAATGTCCTCAAGAGGGGCATGACCAAGACACGGCCGGAGATGGCGGCGTGCCAGGCCTTGCTCACCACCTTGAACCTCGCTAGCGATTTCAGCGGCAGCCGGATCATGATCTCCCTCACCACCTCCTCCGGCAACGAAACCGCCGCCAGATCCTCCTCCTCCTCCTCTGTTGTTTTGCCAACGTAGTCGCCATCATCATCATCATCATCAACCGCCGCCGGCTTCTTCTTGGTCGAGTCTATGGAGGGCGCCATGGTCAAGTTCCAATCTGCAACGACGCACGGAATATACAGGGACAGGGAGGGACCGGTATGTGCTAATTGCTCGACGATTTGATTTCGGGAACCAAGCAACACGTACGGTCTGACTTGGATAACAAGTCTGTTTGGTTTTCTATATAATCTCTGCTTTTTAAAGTCCGTTTGGTTTTGGTCTCCTTGGTTTTCATATACGTATGTACGGTACTAGGGTCTCCTTGGTCTCCGTATATGAATTGGACCCCATGTTGTTTTTTCCTTTCAACTCTCACAAATATTATCTACACTACTATTGTTCATTTCCCACCACTGTTTATTGTACTGTATCTCCTAGATCAGCTCTAATTTTCTGTCAAAGCAGTGAGTCCTGTTAGCTGTGGTAAGATGAGATCAGGAACTACATAGTATCTTCCAGGCAGCTTTTTTCGAAAGAAAATAAATGATCCAGGCAGCTGCTGAACATTTTCCAAAAGGAAGAAAATAGTACTCCCTCCGTTCCGTAATGTAGTGCATATAGATTTTTCGAAAAGTCAAACTTTGACCAAGTTTATATCAAAAACTGTTTATATCTACAATGTAAAAAATAATATTAAACTGCATCTTGTGATGAATCTAATGATATCTATACTACTTATAGTGTACCAGTTTTGAATTGGGCATGATCATCAATCCTAGCCATTCGTGTGCTAAATCCAACGGCTGGAAAGAGTGGGATTCACAATGAACAGTACATCACTGCTCCATCCACAATGTTCTAGAACGATCGCCTCATCCTTCTCAAAATAAGTGGCCTATATCGATTCGTCTTGGCCCATGTTGCAGTTTGAGGACGTGTTAAGCCCATGAAAAGTTGTTTTCAGAGAGGAAATATACAGTAAAATTATACTCTCTCCATCCCACAATATAAAAGATTTCGGCAAGCAATTTTATGAATTAACAAATTACGGGGATTACATATATTAACTCCAACTTTTTTGTAATGTATTTTATTTCTGCATCCGTACATAAACGATATTTTCATTTTGCCTTGAATCTATTGGCAAGTCTATGTTTTTCTTAAACCAAAAACCACTCCATAATAATGTTAAAACGTGCGTTGCACGTGCATACATACTAGTATGTATGGTATTCCAGATGTAAGTACTTTTTTCTCCATAAACTTGGGCAAAGTTTGTAAGGTTTGATCTTTTTAAATCTATATGCACTTCATTATGGAACGGAGAGAGTATATCACTCCTACTGAGGCAGAATAGTGAACACATATGTGGGCATGCTACCAAAATCATACATCAAATAGCCAGGCAAATCCGCCGGAATTTTTCTAGCACACGAAAGAATTGGATTTCAGTTTGCATTGTATAAATATAGTCTGTTACATTATCAATTTCACGATGAATGAAATTGGGGGCTATTGGCTATGCTCCTTAAGTCGGAAAAAAGGGTTCTTCGAATCTACAAACAAAGAGTTCCTACAGAGAAGAGAAGAATTACCGACTTCCATAACACCCATCAAGATATATACGAAATCGGCTCTGTGAGGACACAGAGAACTCTATGTTACCATGACGCCGACGCACAAAACCGGTGTAATTTATTCGCAGAAAGACCACGATCACTACTCAGATGACTCTAAATTTCCTGAAGATTCCTTGTTACCCTTCTTCTTTGTCATTTTTTCCCCTGGTGCTTTGATGCATACAAAAGTTTTGGAGGATTACATTTATATATTATTAAAAAATAGTACAAAAAGTATAAACACATATAATCATTGATTTATTGGATACGGAGTTGGGAATGGACAATACAACACCGAAAAAAATACAACAAGTCCCAATCACACCTTTAATGTAAATGTATGAAGGCTTAATGCGAGTTTCTAAGGAAATAAAAACAACATTAAGTCAACTTTGTCTAAATCTTCATGATGCTTCATCTTTCACCCAAGAGAAATGTTAGATAATCCATTGAAGAAGGTGGACATGATTCTCCTTACACATTAAAGCTCAACTTAGAAGGGCTGACTGAAACAAGGCTCTCCGTGTAAGAAACACGGTCGAAGTAGTATAGATTTTTTCCATGCTTGCCCCAAGGTGTCTTCTTCATTGGGCCCAAGGAACCTGAGGTCATTAATATCAAATATGTCGTCTTCTTTGAAGGTGTTGTTAGATTGCAAGTGGTAACGGTAAATACAACCATTATGAACTAAAAGAACCTCGGTACCATTGCCAAGTGACGCCATTGGATAACAAAGGCTCGAGAAATTGATTGTGTAGTATAAGCTCCATCTAGGATCCAGGTCATCTCTTGTCATCCAAACCAATACACGTTGCGAGCACTCGGGGAAGAAAGTGGCGCATAGTTCTCCGTCAAGCTCATGGAGGATAATATCTTCGTCTTTGACTTGAGGGTACATCATGTCAAGCAACGGAGTGAAAGCAAAGGTTTCATGCTGAAGGCTGAAATGGAGTACTGCCTGTGAGGTACATGGATGGTTGACCTTATCGATGAAGTAGAATAGATACCCCTTGCAGTGTATGGCGGTCTGCGGACATGGGATGAGGGCAGGGAGATCCGCTGAGTTCTCCTTCCACCCATCATCTTGGTCTTGGCCGCTACTAATTGTGAAGACCTCCATCCCCATGGTGACATGGTCGTAATCGTCGCAATGACGATAGAAAGAGTGTGCATCCTTGTATTTGCCGGTAGAAGGATCAAGGCCAAGGCCAACAGGAAGGCAGGTGGGATATTGGATCACGTTGCGGCGGCTCTCGGGCAGTGCAACGACATCTCTTATGGCAGGGTTGAAGACGTAGACGTTGGTGTTGCTGGGGAGCAACACCAAGCCGTCGCAGTGCGCCATTGGAGCCCCGAGTCTAAACTCGCCGGCCGGGGAGTGCCTTTGGTAAAGGATCATTGCAGTTGAACCCGCACTTTCACCACTAGTAGTAGCAGTACTCCTCGTCGTCCTTCGACATGAGGGTCTTTGCAGCTGTTGTAATGGTAAAGACCAGTGGTAGAAGCGGATGTCGGTGGAGATGGGAGTGTAAGGTTCGTCCGATTGGAGAAAACTGCGCAGTGCGACGAGCATGGAAGAAGGGATGTGACGTTGTCTTTGTTTGGAGCAGTGGAGGTGGGCGCGGACGAAGAGAGGGTCGGAGATGATGTTGTGTCAGGCCTTTGCTCACCAACTTGAACCTCGAGAGGGATTTCACCGGCAGCCGGATCAAGA